CTCTGTCACCATGCCAACACATTCACGAGGGATCTGATTGGCTGCTGCAGGTCGTGTGGTTATCCAGAGGCGAGCAGAGGGAAGCAGTTTCCCCCTGATGAGGTTTATCAGCAGCACATCCACTGAGGTGGACTTTCTAGGATCAGTTATGATTGTAGTCTTGTGGAAGTCCAGAGGAAGTCGACACTCATCCAGACCATCAAAGATGAACACAACCTGGAAGTCTTCAAAGCTGCAGATTCCTGCTTCCTTGGTTTCAGTAAAGAAGACATGAACAAGTTCCACCAAGCTGAACTTTTCCTCTTTCAGCACATTCAGCTCTCTGAAAGTGAATGGAAATATGAACTGGATGTCCTGGTTGGCTTTGTCTTCAGCCCAGTCCAGGGTATATTTCTGTGTTAAGACTGTTTTCCCAATGCCACCCACTCCCATTGTCAGCACTGTTCTGATTGGTTCATCCATTCCAGGTGAGGCTTTAAAGATGTCTTCTTGTCTGATTGTTGTTTCTGGTCTGCCTGGTTTCCTGGATGCTGTTTCAATCTGTCTGACCTCATGTTCATCATTGACCTCTGCAGTCACACCCTCTGTGATGTAGAGCTCTGTGTAGATCTGATTCAGAAGGGTTGGGTTTCCTGCTTTAGCGATCCCCTCAAACACACACTGGAATCTCTTCTTCAGTTCTAACTTGAAGTTAATCTGACACTTCTCAAGAGCCTCTGAAATAATAAACAAAAGCGGTTAACATGTCAGTATCAATGCCTGGGCAGAAACAGTCAAAACATTTGTACCTGACCAAAAGGGTCCCTACATAGAAGATACAGATAAAGTGTATCCACAGCCTTTCACTTATTTCACATTTTGTCATGCATTATTTCAAAATGTGGTAAATTCACTTCTCAAGTCAATTTTTTTTTTTTTATAAAATACCACATAATGACAACGTAAAACACGCATGCTTGGAATTCTTGTAAATGTATTAAAAACTAATAAGATTTTGCCATACATAATAATTCATAGTCTTGCCGCACTTCTTTGTGGATTTACATCTGGCAGCAATTACAGCTGCAAGTCTTTTTGATTATAATGCTTAAAGCTTGGTAAACCTAATTTTACGCAGTTTCTTTCAATCTTCTTTGCAGAACTGGGTCGGTGTCACACCCTTGAAACTCCCGTACCTAGTCAGGCCCCTGTAGTTAGGGAACAAGGTAACATAGGCCACACTAGCTCTCCCTCAGCGGAATGTGCCGAGCAGCCAGGGAAACAGGCTGGCTGGCTGGGTGATGGTGAGGAGGTAGCATATTCTTAAACAGAAGCCCCAGGTACACCACCAACCTGTTCATGTGTCTAACCGTTCTTCCCCACTCGGCGACACACCCGTCTGGTAATTGGTGATTCTGTTCTCAGACATGTGAAG